CTTATTAAGCAGTTAGGATTATAATATAATAGTTATAGCTAGTTATATTAGTGCAGGTAACTTAAATATAGGCAGCGCCTTATATAATGCTATTTATAACTAGGGCATTCTAGTATAGCTATTTTATTTAGGACTCTTTAAGCAGTATGCTATTAAGTATATATAGGGGCTAGATATTGCCTAGTTTAAAGTGCGCCCTTTTTAAAAATATCTAGCTGTAAGGTAAAGGATAGGGACTAAGATTAGGCTTTTAAATAGCAGTAAGGTTATGCTTAGTAAGGGTATGCTAGTAGTATAGGTAAAAATAGTTAGTTTTATTCCTAGTATAGTAAATAAGCAGAGTCTTAGCATTATTATTAATTAATATATTACTATGCTTTTATTTAAAGATAATAAGAATAAGATAGGTATAAGCAGCTAGGAGAATATATTAATATAGCAAGTGTTATTACTAGCATTAATAAACTATTAGTTCTATATATTAATATAGCTAAATATTTATAATATTAAGCTCTTAGGTAACCTTAATGCCTTTAAAAGGCTATTAAAGAATATATTAAGAGAGAGTGCTTAGGCATCCTTTACTAAGTCTAGTAAGAAGACTAGAATAGGTTAAGGCAGCGGTTAAGTAATGGCTGGTATTAATAAGATATAAGAAATTATTTAGTATAATTAGTTAAGCAGCCTGCAGTAGTATTATTACCTTACTTAAACTAATATTTATGCGCTATATTCTACTAGTTGTATTACTATAGCAGAGTTTATTTATGCACTAGGATTAAAGCTAGCTTATATAATAGTATATACTCTCTAACTTTTAATATAGAATAAGCATCTGCTTATCTACTGCTACTATTTACTATTATAAATATAAGTGTTATCCTTAAGTATATTTTTTATATTTAATATTACTAACTTTTACTTTTAGTATTCTTTACTTTACTTTTAATTACCTAGGCCTCTTAGTATTATAAATATAAAGTTACTATACTGCATTTAACTATAAAGGTATTTAAAAACGCTTTAATAACCTAAATAATAAGGTTAACTGCCTTATAATTTTAATAGCGCTTAGGTTACTTAGTATAAACTTATATTATGCATATTCTAATAGTATTATATTTAAGTAGCTGCATAATGCATTAACTGTTTCTTAAACTATTAGGCGCTTTTAAAGATTAGGTTTACCTTTAAGTGCTAAAGTTAACTAGACTATTTTAAAGTTAAATAACTCTTTTAATTTATATTAAGAGTCTAGACTTATATAAAAGCAGGCAGTTATTTTAATAGCTAAAGGCAAGATTCTTAATAAAATCACTAGTTAATTATAGGTTATATATACTTATAAGATTTTAAAAAGGATATTTAGCTAAACTTATAATTAATATTTAGTAAGAAGGGTGCCTTATAAGTACTATAATTCTGTTAAGGTTTTAAAGAAGGGCCAGTTTTATTTAGCTTTAGTAATATACCTTATAGCATATCCTAGTAAGGCCTAATCTATAATAAGGGATAATATTTATAAGATTATAATATATTAAAGCCTAAATGCTAGGGAGCTAATAAAAGTAATATTATAAGGTTAAGATACTAATTAATAAAGTAATAGCATTATTCTGCAGAACTAGTATAAGTTTAAGGATAATAAGAATAGGGATAATAATAAAAGTAATAATAGCTTAGCTAGTATACCTAAGCAGCTAATATAAGTAAAAAAGGGTAGGAAGATAATATATAAAGTGCTTTAATTACAGAATATAGTTATTATATAGTAAAGTGTTTATATATATTAGGTATAATTATTAGTTAAATATATTTAGTTAAATTATATATAAATAAGATAATAAAGTTAATTTTATATTAATAATAAGATTTTCTAGCTTTTTTAATTTATAGATTATATAAAGTTAATAACTCTATCCCTTTTTAGTTTATAAATTAAAAGAGTAGGTTTTTAATTACTTACTATAAGGTATTAAATTAGTAAAGTAATTTACTTTATTTATATATATCTATATATATTTATATATATTTATATATATTTATATATATTTATATATATTTATATATATTTATATATATTTATATATATTTATATATATTTATATATATTTATATATATTTATATATATTTACTTATATTTACTTATATTTACTTATATTTACTTATATTTATATATATTTACTTATATTTATATATATTTACTTATATTTATATATATTTACTTATATTTATATATATTTATATATATTTATTACTTAAAATAGCTAGCTATTAATACTATTTACTAATACCTCTTTATACTTAAAATAAAAGAGAAAACCTTTATATTTATATTTATATTAGCTTATTAAAAAGAAAGCTTATTATAAAAATATAACTTAAGTTTATCTTAATTTTAAAAAGTCCTCCTTATTAAAACTTTTAATATTAGCTAGCAGTTTAGCTTTTATAGTCTCCTTTAGGTTTAGCTAAGGTAGAGCAGCTTTAGCTAGGGCAGCTTTAGTAAGAGCAGCCTTAATAAGTGCAGATTTAATAAGCGTAGATTTAGTAGCAGCTTGTTAAGGAGCCTTATTCTTAGTATTAATAACTTTAGTATATAAATGCTTTTTAATATTAAGATAGGCCTACTTATAAGCTAGTTCTGCTACTTTAGGCATAACTGCCTCTTAAAGGGCAGCTATAAGAATTTCCCTCTTTAGCCTAATAGTACTAGCTCCTAGCTTTTTTATCTCTAGCTTCTTAAGCTCCTTGCTGCTTAAAGCTATCTAACCTGCAGTTAAGCAAGTGCTCTTTTAAATGCCTATAGGTGCTGCAGCCTTAGATACTAGGCCCTTTAATACTGTTATTACCTTCTTTACCTTTTTAGTAACTGTTTTACTAATATTACTAATATTACTAAAAGCAGCTTAAAGCTATCTAACTTATAATTAGACAAGTGCTCTTTTAAATGCCTATAGGCACTGCAGCCTTAGATACCAGGCCTTTTAATGCTATTATTACCTTCTTTACCTTTTTAATAACTGTTTTACTAATATTACTAATATTACTAAAAGCAGCTTAAAGCCGTCTAACTTATAGTTAGATAAGTGCTCTTTTAAATACCTATAGGCGCCGCGGCCTTAAATACCAGGCCCTTTAATACTATTATTACCTTCTTTACCTTTATAATAACTATTTTATTAATATTACTAATATTACTAAAAGCAGTATATTTTTTATAAACCTTACTAGTAAGGATATTAATAATCTTCCTTATCTAAAAGTCAGCCTTTAAAGGTCCTAATAAATTAGTATACTTGCATTATCTATAATAAGAATAATAAGAACAGTACCCTAACCTTAACCTAGGCTAAGTTAGCAGCTAATATTATTATAAGTAAAGTTAGCAGCTAATATTTAATGCCTTTTTAATCTATATATTATATAAAGTAAAGATTTAGCCTTTTTAATTTATAAATTATAGCCTAGCCTCTTTAATTTATAGATTATAGCCTGGCCTTTTTAATTTATAAATTATAGCCTAGCCTTTTTAATTTATAGATTATAGCCTGGCCTTTTTAATCTGTAAATTATAATCTAGCCTTTTTAATTTATAAATTATAGCCTAGCCTTTTTAATTTATAAATCGCAGACTGGCCTTTTTAATCTATAAGTTATAGTCTAACCTCTTTAATTTATAAATTATAGCCTAGTCTTTTTAATTTATAGATTGCAGCCTGGCCTCTTTAATCTATAAATCGCAGCCTGGCCTCTTTAATCTATAAATTATAGCCCAGCCTCTTTAATCTATAAATCGCAGCCTAGCCTTTTTAATTTATAAATTACAGCCTGGCCTCTTTAATTTATAAATTACAGCCCAGCCTTTTAAATCTATAAATTATAGCCTGGCCTCTTTAATCTATAAATTATAGCCTAGCCTCTTTAATCTATAGATTATGCTTATATAATAATTTTAGCTAATTAAAGTAGCAGAAACCTCTAACACAATCTACCCTATATAATCTACCCCCTGTATTTTTAGCTTTACACTAAAGGTTCACTATACTTTCTACCTAAACTACAAGATTGCACTGCTTCCTATAGGATAGGAGATAGGGCTAGGCAGCCACATTATATAATATTTATCTATATTATAATTAGGTAAGGCATGCAGTTAGGGCTATAGTAACTGCTTCTTTTATATTAAGGATGCCTGCATTAATACAGTTGCGACTAGCTGCAGTGCCCTTATTAAGCCCTGGATTTATAAGGGGATTAAAAAGCGCTAGTATATTAGTAACTTAACTACTAAGCGTTTTAGCTATATTTAAAGTTAGTTAAGTATAGCACTAAGGCCTAGGTCTTTAATAAGCTAGGCATTAGCTATACTAAGTGCTTCCTGCTTAAGTATTTAAGCTTTGCATACTACTATATTTACTTAGTTTATTAAAACACTTGCTTTTATAGTAGAATAATTAGCTATTAGGTATATAAAGAGAGATAAAATAGAGATATTAATAGCATTAAATAACTATATAAACTAGATTAAGATTAGGTATATTTATAGGAATTATCCCCTAGCTTCTTATATTTTTTTTATTTTTATACTATTACTAAACTATAAATTCTAATAATAAAGACTAATATATAGTTAATAGCTAAAGGTTTTTTAAACAGCTTTACTTAAGGTTCTAGTTCTAGCCTAAGCTTAAATTAAATGCTTATAAAGCTAAAGGCTAGTAAGTTAATGCTTAATACTGCTGCCTAAATTATAAAAAACTAGTATTAGGCATTTAGATTATAAAATATAAGCATATTTACTATAGCTATAGCAGGGCCTAGTATAAAGCGTATTATATTACTGCTGCTAAATATTATAGCCCTGCCTTAATAAGTATAAATTGCTAACTATTAAGGTGCTTAAGACTATGTAGAACTACTAAACTTATAAGTAAGGTAGGTATAAAAAGATAACAGTAAGGTAGCTACTAAAGTACTAGCAGGTCTGCTTTTATTACTACAGCTGCTGCATCCCTTTATATCCACTTTAATAATAGTAGTTTAAATACTAATAATTTTTATAGGAAATAGCATTATTAATCTCTGCTTATTATAGGCCTGGATTTATAGCTTACTAACAGCTACCTATTTAAGTATACACTATACTGCCTAGCTATTAGTTAGCATTAATGCATTTATAACTACCTTAAGGCTTACCCTCCTATAGCTCCTGTTTATCCTTTAGTATATTAAAAGTTACTATACCTTAAATTAAGCCTATAAGGCTAGCTATTAGTTAGCCTTATAGGTTTTATAAAGATATACTGCTATATAGCCTTAGTTACTGTTATACCCCTTTTATACCTATTAGGAAATTATATTATTAATAACCTAGAGCTATATAATAGTAATAGCGCTATATTTTTATATCCTATAGGCAACCTTAATAATATATAGTGCATTTATATTACTAAGCTATTAAGGAATAAATATATAATTTAACTTATTAATAGCCTCTAGCTTATCTTAAGGCCTGCCTACCTTATTAACTAGTAGGTTATAAGAGTGTTTAATATCTTACTGCTAGAAATCACCCTTAAGGGTTTTTATAAAGCTTATGTATTTATTAAGCCAGTGTCTTAGAGGAGTAGGCAGCTAGTAAAGCACTATTCCTATAAGCCTAGGTTAAATGCTATTACTAACTGCAAGCAGTTTAATAATCTAGGGCTTATAATATAGGTTGCTGCCTAACTAAATATACTTTTAGCTAGCGCTATAAAGGAACTTAGGAGGCAGTTTAATAATAAGGCTATTAAGCAGCTATATAAGACACTAGCTATAGAGTTTAATACTAACCTAAAAGAGGCTTAAGTAAAAGAGTAGATTATTTTCTTTATTATTATATTATTAATGCCTTTAGTAATAAAACAGGCCTAGTCCAGGCTATAAGGTGGCCTATATCCCCTTATATTACTAGCTGGTTAAGTGTCTTTAAGGTGTTTATATACCTTTAATATGCCTAGGCTATTAAAGGCTTAGGTATATTAAAGGAATAATCCTAGTAAAAATAAAACACCTAACCTATAGTAACCCTATTTAATAAAGTAGTCTTATTTAAATAGTTAAGAATCCCTATTTAAATAATAGTAGTTTATGCACTTACTAAATTTACTGCGCTTATACTAGCACTTTTATAACTATACAGCCTTATATAATATGCTTTAATAAAAATGCTTATAGCCTATATAATAATAACACTATAAATATAAATCTTATAATCTTTAATAAACTTATTATTATTATTATTATTATTAACCTAGAATTAAGAAGCATGCTAGCAGTAATAGGCGCAGTAGCAGTAAAGATAGTAATAAAAACAGTAGTAAAGGCAGTAGTACTAAAGGCAGCAGTAATAAAAATAGCAGTAGGATTAATTCTATAGTTATAATATTTAGCGCCCTTAAAAATAACTGCTAGTATACTATACTATATTTTAATATATTAGTATAGTAAAAAGTACTAAGGGGGGTTACTTTAGCTAGTAGTATAAACCACTGCTATTTAAATAAGGATTCTTAACTATTTAAATAGGACTACTTATTTAATATGCAAGTTATTTTAATATAAATATCTATTTATCCCTTAATTTTTATAAAGGCATATATATAATACTAACCTTATAGTATATAAAGATATATAAAGTACCTGTGTAATTAAGTAGATTATATTATAAGACTTACACTTTAGAACCCTAGAACTATAAGTAATCTTAACCTCTTTTTTTACTAGCTAGAGAATAGTTATTATAAACTCCTAGGGTATATTAAAATATACTTAGGGGAGGCTAATATAGTAAACCTTTACTTTTATAATAATAATAAGGCTGCTGCGCTTAATTAACCCCTGGCTAACTTATATAGTTATTAGCCTTACTTTATTACTTCCTAACTCTTATAGCCTTAAAATCTGCAGTAAGGGATAGCTAGATTTTATAATAATATTATATTTAAAAACGCTATAAAAGCCTATACTAGCCCTGTTTTTTTAAATATTACTAAGGGAGATAGATATAGTTATCTTACTAATATTTATAATTTCCTAGTTAATGCAAGAGGAAATAATTAGACTTTAAGCTTTAATCTCTTAGCTATCCTTAAAACTATACTAAGAGGAATTAGGCATATAGCCTTTAAAGGCAACTTAGTAATTAATTACACCCTTTATAATATAATAACTAATTTAAGCTTCTTAATTAAGGAACATAACTTCTGCTATAGCCTTAGTTTAACTAAGTTTAAAAAAGAGATAATAAATAAACGCTTTTATACTAACTTTATTTACTTTCCTGCTTACTAAATAGCTATAATCTAGGATTAATATTAAGGGACAGTATATTTCTAGGATATACTTAAAAAAGGATAAAAAATATAAGCAGAATAGTTTATAATGCTATAAAGGAACTTTTTAAACTTAATTAGTTATATAGGATTATTTAATTTTATAGTTATACCTTGCATTACATAACCTAAGAACTTTAAGTGCAGCTACTTAGCAACCTTCTAGCTCTAGCTATCTCTTAAAGGACTAATAGGACTAATAATTTAAAATATTAAGAGATATTTAGTAGGAGTTATAACTTTAAAAGTAGGCCTTAAGCCCTAGCAGGGCCCCCCTATATAAATATTTAATCTTCTACTTTAAGACTAGTGTATTTACTTAGCTGCTAATAAAACAGTAGTAAAATATTAGGATTAAGTTATATAGTTAGTCTAGGCCTTAGCAGGAAATAAACTCTGCATTTATAGCTTAGAACTAGAACATTTTTAAACAGGATAATTAGCGCTTATATAGTCTTTTAATTACTATATAACACTAATTAGTAATAGGCAGTAGTTATTAATATTTATTAAAGGTTAGAACTGCACTTTAGTAAGCAGATAGGCTTTAATTCCCTTTTTAAACACCCCTGCTGCAGTCTTTAGCTGCATAAGGTAAATATTTCTGCCTAATTAATAAACAGTAATATATATAAGCAGTGCTTTTATTATTAGCTTTACCTATATACTTATAAAAAATTATTAATCCCTAATATAGCTAAAGTAAGAGAGATTTAGTAAATAGATAGTTTTTAACTTACTAGCACTTACTATAAATACTTACTACTACTTTAAAAAAGTTAAATAGCTGCATTAAGTAATATATATAAGTTATTATTACTAATATTTAAGCTGCTATCCTTAATAAATAACTCTTTTTATAAGCTAAAGCAAGCGCCTACTTTACTTATATTTATAATCTAAAGCTATATACTAATTTACCTAATAATATTATACCTTATAAGGCACTTTTTTATAATAAGCCCTTAATTAGTTTACTATAACTATATATAGCTAACTGCTACCTTTATATCTTTAAGGAAGTCTGCAGCACTCTAGATATTAAGTTACTTAACTGCCCTAAATGCGCTTACCTAGTTAGTTATAAAAGCCTATCCTATAACTAGCTTTATATCCCCCCTAAGTAGTATTAATAATATACTGCACCCTAGCAGTATTACTTATAGTATTAAATTTTATAGCATTACTAATACTATAGCTAGCTACTAGCTAAGCTTCCTGCCTAGCTAGCTGCCTAGCTAGGCCTTAAGCTATAGCTAGCCCCTGCAGTATAGCATCCCTTAATATATAGCCAGCCTATATAGTTCTACTACCCCTTTAAACTACCTTAGGCCTATTAATAATATAACTGCACTTACTAGCGCTTATATAAGCTAGATAAACTAGACTAAAGCTAAGGCTAATAATAACCTTATATAGCATATCTGCATAATTAAGCAGGCTATTACTAAGAACTGCCTGCAGGATACTATAATCTAGTAGATCTAGAGCAGCTATAAGGCTAATATCTTTTACTACTGCCTAAGCTACTACCCCCTTAAGTAAGTTTAACACCTTTTAGCCGCTAATGCTGCTTATAGTAATTACTACTATTTCTAAAGAGCTTAAGCTAAACCTGTGCCTTAAGGAGGATATTAAGTAAATTAAAATAGCTATAGGGGCCTTTAGTATTAGCTTGCCTAACTATATAAGTATTCTTTTATCTCCTCCTGCTAAGTTTTTAATATATGCTAATACCTTACTTTAAAACTAAGGAATATATTTTAAGTAAGGCAGATACTATTATAGTCCTTAACCTTACTTTATTTACTCCCTAATTGCTTTATAATTTATTAAGGGTTAAGTTAAGTTATTAGATGCGCTTAGTAGGTTAAATAATAAGAAAGAAGAAGAGAAGAAAAGCTTTATTAATAATATTACAGCAGCCTTTATATAAAATTAAGCTTATTTATATAATAAGATAAAAGGGATTATAAACAGTCTTAAGTTATTAAATACGCTTAGTAGGTTAGATAATAGGAAAGAAGAATTATAAATATATAATAGAATTATAAATATATAATAAAATTGCAAATATATAATAAAATTGCAAATATATAATAGAATTATAAATATATAATAGAATTATAAATATATAATAGAATTATAAATATATAATAAAATTATAAATATATAATAAAATTATAAATATATAATAGAATTATAAATATATAATAAAATTATAAATATATAATAGAATTATAAATATATAATAGAATTATAAATATATAATAAAATTATAAATATATAATAAAATTATAAATATATAATAAAATTATAAATATATAATAGAATTATAAATATATAATAGAATTGCAAATATATAATAGAATTGTAAATATATAATAAAATTATAAATATATAATAGAATTATAAATATATAATAGAATTATAAATATATAATAAAATTATAAATATATAATAAAATTATAAATATATAATAAAATTATAAATATATAATAAAATTATAAATATATAATAAAATTATAAATATTATAAAGCTATAAAAGTAATATAAATATTTATATTATATAATTATTAAGTTAATTATATAAATATTTAGTAAGCTAACCTAATAAGCTTATAATACTACTCCTTTTAAAACTTATCCTAACTCTTAAAAACAGCTGCTATAAACTATTTAAGGCTACTTAAAAGACTGCATAAGTGCCTATGCCTTTTAAGTAGTACTAACCTACTTTTTAAGTATAACTGCTTAAACTTAGCAGCTGCACTACAAGAGCTATTAAAAAGCTACCTAACTGCTGCTAATATATTATTTATAATCTTATATTAATTTATAGGCTTAGGTTAGCAGGGTAATATTATAGCTAAAATAACTTACTAGTTACCTCTTAAATAGTTTAATTACTAGCTATAGTAAGGCCCTTATTTATAGGGGGTTTATTTATAAAGCTATTACTGTCTTTAAATTCGCCTAGTATAAAGAACTATATTATATAAACTATAATAAAGAAGGTGTAAGGCTCTAGCTTCTTTTTCTGCCTAAGACTAGGTTTAATAATTAGGCTAGGTAAGTTACCTTTAGTATTATATATTAACATACCCTTTATTATGCTAAGCGTAATGGCTAGTATATATAGGAGCTTAACCTTAAGCTTAGCCTAGTGCTTAAGGAGAAGGGCAACTACCTTACTATAGTAGGAGAGGATAGCTTTATAGCCCTTAACCCTTACCTAGTTAGTAATCCTAACTAAGGTATTATAGCCTATCTAAAAGTATACTAGCAGGCCACTATATAGTAAAAAGGTATAATTAAGGTTAATACCAGGCTCTAGTTTAATAAGCCTGGCTGCCTGCTAGTTACTAGCTAGGATCTCCTTACCTAGCTGCTTTAAGCTATTAAGGAGGTAGTTATTATAAGGATTTTTATATATCTGCCTCTTTAGCTTTAGCTCTTAAATAATAGTTACTATTACTATACTGCAGGCCTTGCCTAGTACCTAGTAAATATTACCTGCCTTAAGCATATTAGAAATAAGTATCTCCTAGGCTATAAGGGCCTTGCTAGGCTTATATAAGTCCTTAGCTATTATATATATAGCAGTTAGGGTTATAAGCTATATTATAGCCTTAAAGCATAGTAACCTTTTAGTAATGCTAGATATAAGGTTTATAAGGAAGCTAGCTATATACTTAGTATAGGTTTAATAAGTAACAGTCTTAGTAAATATAGCACCTGGTTTAAGGGCACTTTTTAAGGTTATTAAGATAGCGCTAAATCTCCTGTAATTTAAGTTAGTAATATTTAAACTAATGCGCTAGGCTAGGCTAAGCTATAGCCGCTCTATTTTAATTAAAAGCAGACTTACTTAAGGCTAAATAAGTTTACTATATTTACCTTCTCCTCCTAGTTATATAAATTACAGCTAGCCCTCTTTAATGCCTGCTATAGGCCTGCTAGACTTTATATATTATAAAAGTGCTTTTAAATAAGCTTACAGGCCCTGCTAGTAAAGAACTAGTGCATCTCTAAAATAAACTAGCTTTAAAAAAGCATATTAACTTTACTAGCTATAGCCTTCTTATCCTTAAATAAAAGCTATATCCTAGCCTTAGCCTTTTACCTAGCAGTAACCTGCTTACTATAGTAGTACTTTAGTATAGCAGCTTAAAGGAGGTATACCTGCCTATCCTTAATACTAGGCTATTTTATTATATTTATCTGCCTTATACTATTTAGGCTTAGTATAGCCTTATTAATATATAGGAATATATAAGCCTTAATACTTATCTATATATTAGTATACTTAAATATAGCCTTAGGTATAACCCTTTAGTTACTAGTAAAGCAGAAGTTTTTTAAGTAATTTATAATAGCCATGCCCTCTTTTAGTATAATTAACAGGCCCTTAGCCCTTACGCTTTTAAACTGCTTAAGCAACGCCTAGGTAATAAGCTTAAATATCCTGCAGTAAGATATAAAAACACCTAAGAACGCCCTCTTAAAGAAGACTTTAAGGATAAGGGCGTATTAGTGCTTAGCCTTAATAAAGAGGCTTATAAGCTATACTATAGGCCTAAATATAGCAGCAGCAGTCTGGTTTTTAAGCAGTATTTAAGAGGCAGAAATAATAATAACCTGCTTTATATAAAAGGGAAAGTTATCCTTATTAAGGCACTTACTTAGCTAATATGCCTCTTAGGCATATAGAATAAGCTAGCCCTTACTAGCATTACCCTTTAGCTAGCTAAGGAGCTTCTGCTATTTAGCCTTAAATATAGGCATAATACTAGCCCTAGCATATAGTAATACTAATATAGCAGTAGTAATAGCCTTATTAGCTAAGAGATTCTATAAGTTAAAGCGTATAGCTTTTTTAATATTAAAGTAGCCTTAGAAATACCTAGTTATAATTATATTACTATTATTCTCCTAGCTTATATTCTAGCAGATAGGGTCTATTACTGCCTAAATAAATACTAGCAGTAAGGTAAATATAAAGTTCTTAAAGCCTAAGTAGAAGGCTAGTAAATAATATATTAGGTTAGCTTGCCTTAAGCTTAGGTACTAGTTATTAACCTTTATAAAGTTTATAAGAAGAGAGTAGGCCTTGCCTTTTTAGCTATAGGCTATATTAGTAATAAGGGTATATATAATGCTATTAATAGCGCTAAAATAAAATACTGCCTTTATTATAAAGCTAAGCTGCTAAAGGCCTAGGGCGTGTTTTATAAACTTTATTAGCTATTGCCTTAAGCTTTTAGCCTCCCTTACCCTAGCCTTATTATTACTATTCTTATTAGTATGCCTATTATTATTACTATTTTAAAACTTGCTTACTACTAACTTAATAAGGCTATTATAAAGGGGTAGGGAGGTAGTGCCTGCAGTATATTTACTGCACTAGACCTAGCGCTTATGCCCTATCTTAGGCTTTATATTATTAGCATTATAGTACTTATCCCTTAAAATACCTTAAGTATTATTTTTTAGCACCTCCTTCTTTATAGCTAGCACTAGGATGTTATTATTACTATTACTAATATTAATTAAGACATTACCCTTATAGCTATATATATAAAAGGCTAGCTAAATACTAGCCTAAAACTAGTTACAGGGGCTGTTAACTATAATAAATATATCCTAGCTAGAAAGCAGGGCATTTTATATAGCTAACTACTTACTAAAAGAGACTTATACTATTTACAGCCCCCTTAGGCTTTAAGAACCCTTAACCCCCCTGCTTAAGATAATATAATCTGCATATTTTAAAAAGTATTTAGCAAACTTCTTTATGCAGAAGAGCTTAAGGGCAGTGCGCTTCTTAGCCCTTATACCCCTAGTATTGCCTTATCCTTTACTACACTGCTTATTTATGCTATTATTATCTAGTTCCTTACTACTATATACTAAGTATAGGTCTAGGCTAAAAATAATAAACTATAATATGCCTATCCTATTAGCTTTTATCTTAAAGGTGCAGCTAGTAAGGGTAAAAAGCAGGGCGCTTTTAAAGTGCTTATTAAAGTAGTAGCTAGACTAGTCCTTAAATAAAAGGCTAATAAAGGAGAGCAGGTAGCTGTTTATAGGCCAGGATATTACCTTACTAAGCTTCTCTAATACTATAAGGAAGTTAAGAAAAAAGCTAATCTTAAGCTTATAAGGCATAATACTATAACCTAAGCTCCTAGTCTTAACTAGCTGCAAGCTCTTACTTTAGTTAATAGCGCACTCTATTTATATAAATCTAACTGCCTTTAACCTAGTCTTTAATAAATTAAGCTTAGCGGCTAGCCTTTTAGCTATTTATAAGGTTAATAACTATAATTAGCATACTGCTACTTTAAACTTGCTAATATTTTAAGGGGGGGGACTTACTGCTATATATAGTAGCTAAGGGCTTAATAAAGTAGTCTCTTTTAGTAAATGCATCCTCTAGGTTAATAATATTATATATGCCAGCCTTATTATTATTATTATTATTATTATTATTATTATCTTTATTACTAGTGCTGTCTTTAATTAGGCAGACTAAATTAGCTTAGTCTGCCTTTAGCTAATTAAGGGAGGGTGCTTAAGAGAAGCAGTTAAGGCTAGTAAAAAGCGCTTTTACTACTTAGCTAGTACCTTACCTATCCTTTATAGCTATTTACTAAGTAATATTTAAGCTGCTATTTAAAATATATCTAGCTAGGTTATAATACTTAGCTAGTATCTTCTTCTTTAAGGTATAAATAGTGTTAGTATAACTGTTTTAAGAGAATAAGGAATTAGCAGGGTTATCCTAGCTATTAGGAATCTTAATAATAATCTAGTTAAGAGATAGGCTCCTAATTATATTCTGCTAGACTTAAAAGTAGTTAAGTAATATTAAAGGTAATAGGCTTATGCTTTTAGCAGCCTAATTACTAAAAGCCTAGTTAGGTCTGCTGCTTCTTATATTACTAAATAGTCTTTATAAGGTAGGAGGGGAGGATAAGAACTAAATAGGTAATAATATATTTACTATATAGCTCTCTCTTACTTAGTATTATAATATATATCTAGACTAGTAGTAATAACTTTAAAAATAAGCTCTCTAAATATAGGTAGCTTATTAATATTTAGGTTTATATAGAATTATTTTATATCCTTACCTTAATATTTTTATTATCTTATTCTTACTCTCCTTTAGCTTTATATAGCAAGATATACTAAACTATCTGCTAGCTAGCCTTAACCTTATAAATCTAGCTCTTTATATATAGTAAATTAGGACTATATAAATAAGGGGAAAAGTAAAAATATTAAAATAAGAAGCTAGGATTATATTTATCTTTAACTTTTTTTTTAATACCTATTTAAAAAAAGCTCTCCTTTATGCTTTATAAGAATAGGAGGAGTGTAATTAGTAATAAGGAGACTTAGGCTATAAGAAGACTTTATATACCTAGGTAGCAATACGCCCTTTATTTAACTACTTTAATAGCTTATCCTTAAATATAACACTCTGCTAGGCATATCCCTTCTTAAGTTCTTAGCTGCTTAAGGGTTTCCTACTACTCCTAGCTGCTTAAGTTAATATAAAGGCGTATTTTAAACGCTTACTGCTATTTACTTAGCTATACTTATTAAAGGGCCTTAATATTATAATAACTAGCGTCTTACTTTTATATTAATGCCTACCCTTTACAGCTAGCGCCTTTAATAAGAGGATGTTATATTTATTACTATAGTCTATAGCTATAGTTATACTAGCAAATTATATATTAGGTTTAATAAAAAGCAATCTAGTTGCCTTATTAATAGCGCCTCTATAAGTAGTAGGGGGCAGGCTATTTAATAGTAATTACCTAAGCAGCTGCAGCTGCCTTAATAATAGTAGCTGTTATAATAAGTTAAGCCTAGGTAAATAGTTATAGTAATATAGCTAAGCTCTGCTTATACTTACTCCTAGCCTGCTATTACCTTAGTAAATACTATCCTTATTATACTGCTATATATTAACTGCCTGCCTAAATAAGCTATATAACTTACTAAAAGGCTTTTTACTAGCAGCCTATAATTACTAGGTAATATAGCTATTTTATACTAAGGTAATAGCTAGAGTTATAATACTATTTTATAAATAATACTAAAATCCCTTTAATCCCTTTACTGCTTTTTTATACTATTTATAGTCTGCTATACTACTAGCACTAGAATTACTATTAGTTTATTTACTATAAATACTATTACTTAAGCTAAGCTAGATAATTTAAAAGGCGCCTTACTAAATAAGGCTTTTACTAAAGCGCTTATTATATTAGTCTTTACTATTATTAATATCCTTAATAAGGGGTTTATTTATATTAATAAAGCACTTAAGCTTTTTAAGCAGGCTAAGTGTATATTTAAGGACCTATTGCTTAAGTTTAATAGCTAATTAGGCAATCTTATCTAGGTCTTTAATACTATTATAATGCCTAAACGCTAGCTTAAGGCCCTTATATAACAGTGGCTTATTACTAATAGTATATTAAAAGTCTGCTAAAAAGGGGTTAACCTAGGCTATAATATAAGCTATAATTATACTAAGCATTTTCTTATTAGTCTTCCTTAGCTTAAGCAAGGGCTTAAGAGGTAAAAAGCGCAGGCAGCTAGTATTCTTAATAGCTATTACTAGCTAATTAAATTATTTACTGCTAAGGCTAGTAATAGTAAATACAGTATAGTCTCTTACCCTCTTTTTATCTCCTTTTTTATTCCTCCTGCTTTATAGCGCCTCTTACCTATCTTTAAAAATATTATTAACAGCCTTTATATTATAGCTATCTTAAAGCAGTTCTGCAAGGTAGTCCTAGTTATTAAGCAAGATCTTATTTAATAAGGCCTAGCTGTATTATTAAAGCTTTATATTAAGGGCGGCTAGCATATTAAGGACTGGCTAGAAATGCCTAATAAAAAACTGCAGCTTATATAGTAAAATAAATTAGCTAGTATTTAGTAATAGCTTTTATATTAATAGCAAATAGTATATGTAATATATTATAATTCCTTCTACTTTAAAATAACTTTCTAGTAGCAGCTATTCTATTACTAGCTAGTGCTAGTAGGTTAATAAGGTTAACTTATATTATTAAGCCTTAAAAACACTATATTAGCCTACTTAAATATATTAAAGGTCTTCTTACTAATAGCTATACTATACTATAATATTATAAAGCATCTTTATAGTAAGTTCTTAAGGATTAGGGATATTTAATTAAGGAGCTGTATTATATTCTTGCTATTAAGATAGAGGGCAGCAGTAAGTTTTTAAATAGTATTTTAGGTATTTTCTTTTTTAAGAAGGTTGCTGCCCTGTTTATTATAAATTAATATAAGTTAAAGCTATATCTGCTTATTCTAGTCTGCAAGCTTTAGGTCCTGCCTATTTATATAAAGCTATATTTAAATATTATTAGGAAGAGCGTTTATTTAGTTATAGTAATTGCCTAGTTAGCTTTTATTTTAAGGTAAGGCAGGCATTTATAATATATTATATTACCTTAATTATATATCTTGCAAATTTACTAACTATTAGTATTACTGCTATTATAAAAGATATATTAGGCTGCTATTAAGTAATACTAACTATTAAGGATCTTTATAAGCTTATCTATAGCATTAGCCTACTTATAAAAATCCAGCAGCTTAAGTAAGGGACCTTATACTAGTAGTTAACTAGTTAGCTCTTTTTACAGTTTTAGGCTTTATTAAGCAGTAATATATGCCTTAATAGCCTAAACTATATTAGTGCTATATATAACTTTTATATAGTTCTTTTATTTTATTCTGCCTATACCTCTATTTTTAAAACTCTTATATAAACTGTTAATATAACCCTTATTAATAAGCTAGTTTAATCTAACCCTTTAATACATTAATAAGATATTAAGGGGAACTTTTATTATAGTAAGAAGGTAATTCCTTACTAATATTTAAGCAGAGAGCAGCTTGTTAATTAAAGAGGTAAAATTATTAGTCTTAGGTTAAAAGGGGGAGATTTAAGGTTAGCATTACTTTTTTATAGGCCTTGCCTAGCTAGCTAACTAAGATTGCTTTATTATAAGTAAGATAAAAGGCATAAAGAATTAAAAAGTAACTTACTGCATATACTTTTAGTAAAAAACTTAAGGCCTACTTATAATAATTTATTAAGTATTACTAATCTTTAAGCAGTAAGGAGATTAGCATGCTGTAAAGAGAGTTTATTAGGTTAATTTTAACTTAAGTAGCTACCTAGGTTACTTTAAAAAAAAAAAAAAAAAAAAAAAAATAAAAAAAAAAATAAAAAAAAAATAAAAAAAAAAAAAATTATTATTTTATAATAGAACCTTTATTTAGAATAAGGGTTTAATACAGTAAGGCATTTAGGGTAAGTAAGAAATCTTTATTTAGGTAAAGAATTTAGGTTAGGCGAGAAATCTTTATTTAAATAAAGAATTTAGGGCAGGTAAGTTAGGTAAGAAATCTTTATTTAGGTAAAGAATTTAGGTTATTTAGGTAAAGAATTTAGGTTAGGTAAGAAATTTTTATTTAGGTAAAGAATTTAGGTTAGGTAAGAAATTTTTATTTAGGTAAAGAATTTAGGTTTAGTAAGAAATCTTTATTTAGGTAAAGAATTTAAGGCAGGCAAGTTAGGCTAAAGATCTTTATTTAAGTAAAGAATTTAAGGCAGGCAAGTTAGGCTAGATATTTTTATTTAGGTAAAGAATTTAAGTTTAGTAAGAAATCTTTATTTAGGTAAAGAATTTAAGGCAGGTAAGTTAGGCTAGATATCTTTATTTAGGTAAAGAATTTAAGTTTAGTAAGAAATCTTTATTTAGGCAAAGAATTTAAGGTAGGTAAGTTAGGCTAGATATTTTTATTTAAGTAAAGATTTTAGGTTAAGTAAGAAATCTTTATTTAGGTAAAGAATTTAAATTAGGTAAGAAATCTTTATTTAAGTAAAGAATTTAGGTTAGGTAAGAAATCTTTATTTAGGTAAAGAATTTAAGTTAGGTAAGAAATCTTTATTTAGGTAAAGAATTTAGGTTTAGTAAGAAATCTTTATTTAAGTAAAAAATCTAGGTTAGGCAAGAAATCTTTATTTAAGTAAAGAATTTAGGTTAGGTAAGAAATCTTTATTTAAGTAAAGAATTTAAGTTAAATAAGAAATCTTTATTTAGGTAAAGAATTTAGGTTTAGTAAGAAATCTTTATTTAGGTAAAGAATTTAAGGTAGGCAAGTTAGGCTAGATATCTTTATCTAAATAAAGAATTTAAGGCAGGTAAGTTAGGCTAGATATCTTTATTTAGGTAAAGAATTTAGGTTAGGCAAGAAATCTTTATCTAGGTAAAGAATTTAAGGCAGGTAAGTTAGGCAAGAAATCTTTATTTAGGTGAAGAATTTAAGTTATTTAGGTAAAGAATTTAGGTTAGGTAAGTTAGGCTAGAGATCTTTATTTAGGTAAAGAATCTAGGGCAGGTAAGTTAGGCAAGAAATCTTTATTTAGGTAAAGAATTTAAGTTAGGCAAATTAGGCTAGAGATCTTTATTTAGGTAAAGAATTTAAGTTAGGCAAGAAATCTTTATTTAGGTAAAGAATCTAGGTTAGGCAAGAAATCTTTATTTAGGTAAAGAATTTAAGTTAGGCAAGAAATCTTTATTTAAGTAAAGAATTTAAATTAGGTAAGAAATCTTTATTTAGGTAAAGAATTTAGGTTTAGTAAGAAATCTTTATTTAGGTAAAGAATTTAAGGCAGGTAAGTTAGGCTAGATATTTTTATTTAGGTAAAGAATTTAGGTTTAATAAGAAATCTTTATTTAGGTAAAGAATTTAAGGCAGGTAAGTTAGGCTAGATATTTTTATTTAGGTAAAGATTTTAAGTTAGGCGAGAAATCTTTATCTAGGTAAAGAATCTAGGTTAGGCAAGAAATCTTTATTTAAGTAAAGAATTTAAGTTAAGTAAGAAATCTTTATTTAAGTAAAGAATTTAAGTTAAGTAAGAAATCTTTATTTAGGTAAAGAATTTAGGTTTAATAAGAAATCTTTATCTAGGTAAAGAATTTAAGGCAGGTAAGTTAGGCTAAAGATCTTTATTTAAGTAAAGAATTTAAAGCAGGCAAGTTAGGCTAGATATTTTTATTTAGGTAAAGAATTTAGGTTTAATAAGAAATCTTTATTTAGGTAAAGAATTTAAAGTAAGCAAGTTAGGCTAAATATTTTTATTTAGGTAAAGAATTTAAGTTTAGTAAGAAATCTTTATTTAGGTAAAGAATTTAAAGCAGGTAAGTTAGGCTAGATATCTTTATCTAGGTAAAGATTTTAAGTTAAGTAAGAAATCTTTATTTAAGTAAAGAATCTAGGTTAGGCAAGAAATCTTTATTTAGGTAAAGAATTTAAGTTAGGTAAGAAATTTTTATTTAGGTAAAGAATTTAGGTTAGGTAAGAAATTTTTATTTAGGTAAAGAATTTAGGTTTAGTAAGAAATCTTTATCTAAGTAAAGAATTTAAATTAAGTAAGAAATCTTTATTTAGGTAAAGAATTTAAGTTAGGTAAGAAATCTTTATTTAGGTAAAGAATTTAGGTTAGGTAAGAAATCTTTATTTAAGTAAAGAATTTAGGTTTAGTAAGAAATCTTTATTTAGGTAAAGAATTTAAGGCAGGCAAGTTAGGCTAGATATCTTTATTTAGGTAAAGAATTTAGGTTAGGTAAGAAATCTTTATTTAGGTAAAGAATTTAGGTTTAGTAAGAAATCTTTATTTAGGTAAAGAATCTAGGTTAAGTAAGAAATCTTTATTTAGGTAAAGAATTTAGGTTAAGTAAGAAATCTTTATTTAGGTAAAGAATTTAAGTTAGGCAAGAAATCTTTATTTAGGTAAAGAATCTAGGGCAGGTAAGTTAGGCTAGATATTTTTATTTAGGTAAAGAATTTAAGGCAGGCAAGTTAGGCTAGATATTTTTATTTAGGTAAAGAATTTAAATTTAGCTAGATATTTTTATTTAGGTAAAGAATTTAGGTTAGGTAAGAAATCTTTATTTAGGTAAAGAATTTAGGTTAGGTAAGAAATCTTTATTTAGGTAAAGAATTTAAGTTAGGTAAGTTAGGCTAGATATTTTTATTTAGGTAAAGAATTTAAGGTAGGTAAGTTAGGCTAAATATCTTTATTTAGGTAAAGAATTTAGGTTTAGCTAGATATTTTTATTTAGGTAAAGAATTTAGGTTTAGTAAGAAATCTTTATTTAGGTAAAGAATCTAGGTTAGGTAAGAAATCTTTATCTAGGTAAAGAATTTAAGTTAGGCAAGAAATCTTTATTTAGGTAAAGAAATATTTAGGGCAGGCAAGTTAGGCTAAATATCTTTATTTAGGTAAAGAATTTAGGTTTAGTAAGAAATCTTTATTTAGGTAAAGAATCTAGGTTAGGTAAGAAATCTTTATTTAGGTAAAGAATTTAGGTTAAGTAAGAAATCTTTATTTAGGTAAAGAATTTAGGGTTAGGTAAGAAATCTTTATCTAGGTAAAGAATCTAGGGTAGGTAAGTTAGGCTAGATAATTTTTATTTAAGTAAAGAATTTAAAGCAGGTAAGTTAGGCTAGATATTTTTATTTAGGTAAAGAATTTAAGTTTAGTAAGAAATCTTTATTTAGGTAAAGAATTTAAGGCAGGCAAGTTAGGCTAGATATTTTTATTTAGGTAAAGATTTTAAGTTAAGCAAGAAATCTTTATCTAAGTAAAGAATCTAGGTTAGGCAAGAAATCTTTATTTAGGTAAAGAATTTAAGTTAAGCAAGAAATCTTTATTTAAGTAAAGAATTTAGGTTAGGTAAAAAATCTTTATTTAGGTAAAGAATTTAAGTTTAGTAAGAAATCTTTATTTAGATAAAGAATTTAAGGTAGGTAAGTTAGGCTAGAGATCTTTATTTAGGTAAAGAATTTAAGGTAAGTAAGTTAGGCTAGATATTTTTATTTAGGTAAAGAATTTAAGTTTAGTAAGAAATCTTTATTTAAGTAAAGAATTTAAAGTAGATAAGTTAGGCTAGATATTTTTATTTAAGTAAAGAATTTAGGTTTAGTAAGAAATCTTTATTTAGGTAAAGAATTTAAGGCAGGTAAGTTAGGCTAAATATCTTTATTTAGGTAAAGATTTTAAGTTAAGTAAGAAATCTTTATTTAGGTAAAGAATCTAGGTTAGGCAAGAAATCTTTATTTAGGTAAAGAATTTAAGTTAGGCAAGAAATCTTTATTTAGGTAAAGAATTTAAGTTAGGTAAGAAATCTTTATTTAGGTAAAGAATTTAGGTTTAGTAAGAAATCTTTATTTAGGTAAAGAATTTAGGGTAGGCAAGTTAGGCTAGATATTTTTATTTAGGCGAAGATTTTAAATTAGGTAAGAAATCTTTATCTAGGTAAAGAATTTCTAACCTAAACTTATAAGACTAGTTTTTATCTTATAATAATGCCTGTTAATTTAATACAGGGAGCTAAGGGTAAGGTATTAGGTATATAAATTATTAAGGTAAAGGTAAGTTACCTATTTTTATATTATACAGCATGTTCTTTAATAAATAATATAAGCTCTCTTTCTAATAGCTATAGCAGTACTTAATAAGTAGCTATAATAATAGTAAAGAGGTCTAGTATTTATTAGTATAACTCTGCTTTACTTAATATATTTTTAATTATTATAGTGCTTTATATTATAATAATACAGTAAGAATAAGTTTCCTACCCTTTTTAATTAAAAAGGGATATAGTTTAGCTAAGTAGTATAAAGAGATTTTACAGTAAAGACTTTATAGCAGTATTATAAATCTTATTACTAGTAATAAAGTGCAGGTAAGTATATATCTTATTCTTATAGCAGTTAATAAAAAGCTTAAAGAGGGATTTAAAGTAAAAGGGCAGTAGCTTATTAATTAAGTAGCTTAGCCTAGCCTTATTAGTAATATTAAATCTAGTTACCTAATTAACTAACTTATAAATATTATGCTATATATCTTAATTAAAGGTATTTATAACTATACTATAAAAATACTTTAGCTAAATATAATAGGCTGCTTTATTACTGTAAATATTATACTTAATTACTTATAAGGTTACTTACTATATATAAAAGTATATGCTATAAATATCCTTAATAGCTCTTTATTAATAAGTATAGTCCTGCTTTAAGAGCCAGTTTTTAGCTATAATTTACTTTTTAATATTATATTAAAAGTAAAAGGATAGCTAGTTAAGTTTCTCTAGCTATTACTAGCTAAAGCTATAGTTTTATAAAGTATACTGTATTTCTATTCCCTTTTTATAAACTATATTTATAGCTACAGTCCCTCTAGTTACTTATTAATTATATTATAAGACTAACTCCTTAGCTATAAGCATAAAGCTAAAGGAGAAGTATAAGCCTTAAAGTACTACTAGTATAATAACTATCTTTAATAAAGAGAACTTAAAAAATACAGCTAAATAAATATACTTAAATAAAAAGCAGTGTTTATTAACTAAGGCCTAGATAAGGCTGGCTATATTAAAAGATAGTATAGTAAAGTATAGGGTTACTATCTTAGCCTAGCTTAGCTACTAGTTTAATAATATAATATAATATAAAAAATAAAAGGAAATACAGTCTTTAGCCTTAACTTTATAAGTAAAAAGGCATTAGCTTAATATATTAAAATCTAGCATACTTATATTTACGCAAGCCTTATTAAGCTAGTAACTATATATAAAAGTGCTAATATATTAGTAAACTCTATAGGTTAACTAAAGGTCTTATAAGTAGGCTAGATTTAAGGCAAGCGCCTTAGTATTTTAAGACTAGAAGGGAAATATTTTAGCTAAATTAAAAGGGCCCTTAATAAGATTATAAAATTAGCTATAGACTAGGCCTTTTATAAACTCTTTACTATACTAGAATATAGTAATAGTTATGCCTATAGTATAGTTAAAGGTAATAAAGGGATACTTAAACTTAGTTAAGTTAGGTTACCTTTTATATATTACCTAGGTGTTATTAGCTGCACTTTAGGCATACTAAGACTGCTAGAGTGACTTAAGGTAGCACTTCCTTTATAAAAGGATATAGTTATTAAGCAGCCCCTCCTTAACTAGCATTACCTACTGCTTAATATTAATAAAAGTAATATCTTAGTTTAAATAGGCAGGGTTAATACTATAGTCTTATACTATCTACTACTTACTAAGTGCTTTTTATAAAGAAGTTGCTATATAGTAAAGCTTAGTGTTCTTAAATAAAATATAAAGCTGCAGGCTATAAAAGTTAAGGTATTTATAAGCCTATAGCTTAATAGCCTTTTAAATAGTATTTAGGTTACCTAGTTATAAAGTATATTATAGCACTTATTTTTAGCTAATATATATTATATACTCTTCTTTATTTTAGTTTAAGTTATATTTTAAAAGTATTTTATATTCTGCCTTTATAATACTATTAGCAGCTATATATAACTTTAATAAGTGCTATAGTATATTAAGGGATTTAATATACTTTTAAAATGCTAGTAGTATAATAGTATTTAGCTATCTTTTATAAGTATTAAGGAAAAGGGCTACTGCCTTATATAAATTACTAAAGCCGCCTTTAAATATAGTAAGGAAGAAGATATAAATATTTATATTATTTAAACTAAGTATATAGCTAAAGCAGTAATTTAGTATTATATATAATAGCTATAGTATTTTACTGCTATTATTATTAAAGATATTAAAAGCTAAGTATATATTATTTATTATGCTAGACTGTATATAATATATAGCTTTTTATAAAATGCCCTAGCTTACTATAGCTAAGGATAAGAGAAAGGTATAAAGGCTGTTAATATTAAAAAACTTATTTACTATATTAGCTATAAGGTTAAGATAAATAAAGTAGTAGGTATAAAGGTAAAGTTATAGTAGTAGTATATTAATATTTGCAGTTCCCTTAAAGGCAGTCTAGCAGGTCTTAGCTAAAGTATTATAGTTATACACTTTATTACTAATTATAAAAAGAAAGGTTACCCTCTTTACCTTAAAAAGGTCCTTATTAAGATTTAATATATTAGGCAGCTTTATATCTCCTTAATATCCCTTAAAGGCCTGCTATATATTACTTATAAAGCTATAGTTAAGGCTAATATAACTCCTATCTGCCTATAATAGCATTTTAATATAATTAGACTTATACTTTTATAATAAGTAATTAAGTATATTAGCCTATTTAGCTATAAGTATATAGTATAATATAGTAGTATAGTTTTTAGTTAAGCTATAAGGAGATAGCTATAAAGCAGTATAGTAATTATCTTTATAAATGCTTAGTAATAGCAGAGGAGTAAAGTAATTATAATCTTTTTAAAGGCTAGGTAATAGTAAAAAAGCAAAGTAATTATAATTTTTATAAAAGCTAAGTTTTAGTAATAAAGCATTTACTATAAGGTTATTTACTTTTAAATTGCCTTTAAGGTAGCTATTTACTATATCTTACTAAAAGGTAATAGCTTAATCTTTAAATGCTTTAGCGCTTAATATAACTATTAGCTAATTAAAGTTAGTTATTAATAAACACTATTATGCCTTAATAGTAACTTAATAAAAGCATTTAATAGTAATAAGGCTGCAGGTCTAGCCTTTATACTGCTGTATTATATAGGTAGTAATAATAGTAGGTGTTATTAAGGAGGGGTTAATAAATAATGCCAGTTACTTTAAGGCTATAGCAGTGCCTGCAGTATAGGCTAGTGTTTTAAGCAAGTTAGTAAGAATAATAGTATTTATTATTAAATTATAGCAGCTAAGTGTTTAGTAGCTAATTATAGTTATAGTTAAACCTAGGTAAAAGATAAAGATAACTACTAAACTGCAGTCTAATAGTTATATTTCCTCCTTTAAAAGTAGCTATAAAGCATTAGTATAAAGGGCCCTTACTATTATATTAATATAAGCTTTAGTATAGTAAATAATAAGCTAAAATATAAAAAGTAAATCTTTTATCTTTAAAAAGTGTAATAATATAATATAATAGGAGAGGTTAAATAACCTAATACTAAAAAGTATATTATTTTTAGTTAGGTTAATATAAGGATTAATATAGGTATTAGGGTAATATTAAGTAAATATATAAATAGCTTATAGTATAGTCTTTTAAAAGCTATATATATTAGTATTAGCTATAAAGGACTTAGTAGCTTAGTAAAGGAGGGTATTTTTTTAAATAGCTTTAGTTAGCTTTTATATTTTCTAACCTTATATATTTAAAGCGCTAGAGGCTAGTGTAAGCTTTAATAAAATAAAGGATATATAGTAATTAAAGATTTTCTTATAAAGCCCTTTTAGTTATTTATTTAAAATATTTAGTATTACCTTTACTATATCCTTAACTAGTATAAGAAGGCCTTCCTTTTTTATTACTTATAACTTTTTAATAGCTTAACTAAATAGGTTATTAAAGGGATTAGTAAAGCTAGAGTTATTTTAAATAGGCGGGATAATTAAAGAGAAGTGGTTACTTAAAGGGGTAAAGGGAATATTAATGCTAGGGTATATATATAGGTTTATAATGCTATTAGTAAATAGTAAAATGCTAAAGGGGTATAGTATTATATAGCTAAATATAATCTTTAATTAACTTAAGCTAGTAGTTAATACTAAGGTAAGCGCTAACTTTTATTAGTAAAAGTATTTTCTTTAATACTTTTAATTATTTTACTTATACTTACTTTTACTATAGTACTTTTTTAAGCAGCCTTATCTCTTTAGCTTTAATATGCTTTTAAATAATACTAAACTAAATAAGTGTTAAAAGGGCATACTATTTAGCATTAAGTAGGAATATAAGCCACTTAGGCTTAAGTAGTATTAGTAAAGGTAAAGGGTAAAAGTAAAGTATAAAAGTAGGCATTATATAATAACTTAGCTAAAAGTAAAAAGGAATAAAAGGGGTTAGTAGTATAGCTTAATTCCTATTAGCTAAAAGACTAGGCTAAACTAATTAAAAAGGTATTTTTTATTAGGTAGGGCTTTTTTATTTAGGCCTAGTGGATTTCTAATTTATACTATACTTAAAATATATTTTTTATTAGGTTATATAATACTAAGCTAAAGGTATCTTAGTATAAGAGTTTTAAATATTTTATAATTAATTCTAGAAAAATGCTATTAAAAATCAAAGAGAAGTTTTAGAATATAGATTTTTTAATAGATTTTATTATATTTTTTATATCTATTTTAACTTAAGATTTAAAATTTTTTTTTTCCCTCTTTACCCTAACCTTTACCTTATAAGTAAGACGTGATTCTAAGGGACTTATAGGCAGGCCTTTTAATAATAAAAACCCTATCCTTAAAAATAAACTAGTAAGGAAGGTTCTTAAGCAGAGGCAGAATATATTACTAATTATAGCTAGCCTAAGTAATATAAAATAAGTATAATACTTAATTAAGTTAAGATTAAAACTTAGTAGCCTTAATAATAAAAAGGTTATAGTAAATATATAGCTAATTAATTTAAAAGTGTTTTTAATTAGCTAGCTAGTCTTTAATAAAAATATAAAGAGTATAAGTAATAACTTAAGTAAGTCTTAATATAAGGAGTTAGTTAAAATATATCTTATATTTATATTACTATACTAGGCTATTTATATTTATATTAATATAGGGCTAATATAAAATAGCAGTAGTTATTAAATTAAGTATAAATATAAAAAGTAGGAAGAAGGGCAGATTAAAAGGTAAAGGTAAGTAAGTTATTAAGGCATTAAATAATAATAATAATAATAATAATAATAGTAATAGTAATAAAGAAAGTAGAATAAATAATAAAAGAGGGGGTAGTAGTAAAAGAGGTAGTAAAAAAAGCAGTAAAAAAGGTAGTAAAAAAAATAAAAGTAATAATAATAGTAATAATAAAAATTTAAATTTTAATAAGTACCTTACTTAATAACTATAGCTTAAGAATAGCTAGACTGGCTTTACTAAAATTAAGCTATTAAAGCTATATAAATTCCCTTTTTAAATAACCCCTTTTAATCCTGCCTATTCTTTTATAAAGGCAGATTTTAAAGCTAGGAAGGCACTGTATTTTAATATTTATACTAAGTACTTTAAGGCCTTTTTAACTATATTTTAATAACTATAAATAACTGCTATACCTTTTATAAATATAACCTTAAATATAACTATAGCTGCTTAGTATTTATTAAAATATAATTTTACCTATATTAAGAAGTTTAATACTATTACTTATATTACTGCTTTATTAAGGCTTAGTAATATTAATAAAGCATATACACTTATTAACTAAAATAGTAAGTTTACTTCCTATCCTACTTTAAAAATATTTAGTAAAAGGCTTAGTTATTTTCTTAGCCTTTTTAATTTATAAATTATTAAACTTTAATTTATAAATTAAAAAGGCTAGCAGTTATCCCTTAATTACTTAAAAAGGCTATTACTTTTACTATTTAATATATAAAGGGAATATATATTTAGCATTTTATATTATCTTTTTAACTAGCTATAATTATATATAGTACTAATTAAGTCTTTTTTTAATAGTAAAGATTATATACCCCTTTTTTAAGTAATTAGGAGGTATAACTTTAAGGGCATTTAAGTTTATAATAAGTGCTATTAAGAGGGGTTAATTTAAATTAAGGATAAGGGTTTTATAAACTAATCTGCAGGCTATATATAATATAATTATAAATATAATAAGTAAAGTATATAATATTTAAAAAGAGAAGAGTAGTATAAGTATTATAATAAACTAGCTTTATATAATAATTACTTATTATTACTAATTAATAACCTTTTTCCTTAACTAGTTTCTTAATTACTACTGCAGTAAGAATAACCTTAACTTACTTTAAAGTTATTATTATATTAATTAGCAGGTAGCTTATATAATACTAAAGTATTATAAGAGTTTTTATAAAAAAAGGGTAAAAGGATTATAAATTAAATATAGCTCCCCATAAAGGTGAAACAGACCCACCATAGGGCGCCTCCAAATAAAACACAAAAGACGCAAACCTAAGCCAAAGAGCTAATAGTCCTACATATCAAGACGCTTCACAGCTATCCCGCTCGCCGCCCGGTGTCCCGCCGGCCCCCCGCGC